CCCCCCCCCCCGAAGGAGGCTGGGGCAGACCACTCACCTCCTCCACTCCTCCTCTGTCTCCCAGAACTCATAGACCACGAAGGTGAGGCCATCGGCCAGCCTCACTGCCGCGATGCTGGGGAGAGAGAGGCTCCAGCTGGAGGGCTGCCCCCCAAGAGCCTGGCGGGAGGGGCCCCCAGCACTGGCCCTCCGGTGTGTTCAGTGAGGATCCCCACCACCTGATGCCAGGCCTGGTCCCAGAAGGGGGCCAGGAAATACTCACTGAACGAATCGCAACGAAACGACACTTGAAAAGGCCTTACTGCCATTTAAAAACCCCACTTTTCAAAATAAAAACATCTTCCTCCTCCTGCCTTCTCTGTAATTGTTTCATTTAATCCTTAAAACTCTGTGACTTGAAATTGACCCAGCAACGGGGCGGAGAAGGCCAGGCCCTGGCCCAGTGGTCCGGGAGGCCAGGCACCTGTCCCTTCCTGCGTGACCATGACCTGTGTGCCTCCCGGCCCCTCCCAGGCCTGGAAGAGGAGGGAAGGGACACCCCCAGTGAGAAGGCGGCTGGCCTGGGGGGTTGGGTTCCTTCCTCTCTAACCCTGGCCTGACCCGCCCCCCACTCAGAACACAGCCCGAGCCTCCAGGAGGAGAGCTCTCTCTCGCGGGTGCCGATCGCCGTGTAATGCCAGGTAATTCCATGTTTCACCAGACAGGAGCCGCGAAGCAGGACTGCTAATGGCATCATTAGTTCACTGGCTCCAGCCTCCGACCACACCTGGAGCCGGGGCCCTTTGCGCCGCTTGACAAAGGTCACGGGGGCAATGGGGACTATCTGCATTTGGTTACTGGGGGATGCAAGCGACCCCGGGGACCGCATTTGCCTGGCCGACAGTACACGGCATGCGTTGGGGCGCACCCGTGGGCGGGCAGGCACGGGGTGAAGGGACGACGGTCATTCCACAGGCGAGAAGCCCCTCGGCGTCCTGCTCCCCCCTCCTCCCACGTTCTCCCCCCACCATGAGCTCACGATCACCCACCTGCACGACCGCACCTCGCCTGCTGTCCTAGCGTGGCCTGGAAGGACCTGTACGACGCCCCCACCAACACTGCTGGCCGCCTCCTGACCTTCCCACTTAGCCCTCAGCACAATCCTGTCGGTTCGGCCTTACGGCCTCTCCCCACCCGTCCCCCATCCCGGCCACTAGCTGGTCCCGTCAGCCCAGCTCCAGAGCCCAGGTCTCTGAAAGACCCGCCCGGACTGCGGGGCCTCTCCGGGCCGCACCCGTCCCCACTCACCCCTCCTTCACACAAAGGAGACCTGACCGGCTCTGCCTTCGGCTCGAGCATCTCTGACACGGTCCCTACCAGCCCCCAGTCCTTTCCTGCCGTCACAACCGGGCCGCTCGAGGCGCTTGCTATGTCCCCAGGTCTCGGCTCCAGCCGACGCCCCCCGCAGACCACCCTCACCCCCGGTTCTGCGGCCTCTCCTCGCCCGGCCTCATGCACGTACGGCCCCCACCTGGATCAAGCAGGTCACTCACTGGAAGCAGGTCCTGGCCCCCGCGGTCCCCCGCAGGTACTGGCGCAGGGAGTCCACGAACTCACTCAGCTGCTCGGGGCACACGGCCATCTCCTGCCGGACCAGCTGCAGGTGCTATGGGGACACAGGGGAGTGAGCGCCCGGCCACCCCCGCTCTCCCTGCCCGAGACCCGGCCTCCCCAGACCTTCTTCAGAGAAGACAGGGCAATTCGGCCAAAACAGAACCCAAGACCCCTCCTCACTCATGCGAGGGCTCATTCTTACGCCAAAAGTGGCGAAAAAGAACGAGGACCGAATGGCTAAAAGCAGACAGCCACGCCCAAGCAGGACACCACACGAGGATGTGCACAGAGGGGCTCTGCGGCCGCCGGGAGCTGCCCGCACGGCACTCTGGTCCGAGACACCACAAAATCAGGACCCATCAAGATTCGCTTCTGGTCGGGTGAGTGTGTGGGGTCACTGTCCTGATCACTTCGCCCCGGGGCCAAACTGTTGTTGATCAGAGAACACCCCTCGCTGGAGAGGCAGCCAGGGCCTAGGGCCGCATCTCCCCTCGTGGTGGTCCCAGGGGGTGACACCAGGGGGTGTCAAGGACCTGGAACTCAGTCCTGGCTCCGGCAGGGATGGGGCCACAGGAGAGGGGCAGGAAGGGAGCAGGCCTCACCATGTTGGTGCCTTCTTCATCTGAGAGGCGCTGCTGAAGGTCAAACCAAAGGGTCTGAAACAACAAAGCACAAAGACGTGTCGGAGACCGAGGCCCCCTCCCCCAGGGAGGCCTCCAGCACTACCACAATGAAACCGGAGAGTCCAGAGCCAGCAGAGAGCTCCAGCCTCTCCACCCCAAGGTTCCAGGGGCTCCGGAGTTCCCCGGGGCCAGGCCTCGCTGGGCCGCCTACCCTCCAGACACAGGGCTGGCTCTGAAGGAGGCTGGGAGGCCCGGCTGGGAGATGCACCAGAGGAAGTGGCACAGATCCCTTCCGGCCTTGGCATCTCAGAAGCACAGAAGCCAACCAGACCTGGGCAGAGGGCATTCGGCCAGGGGCGGGGTAGTCTTGGTACAGGACAGTTCTGAACCCAGGATGCCGCTGCCAGCAGCCCTGAGATCCCCCGTCGGCCGGCCAATCACCCCACGTCAAGACCCCCGGTGCCCTGTGAACCTGATAATGGTCTGAATGGGGTGGTTGTGCTAACACTGGCCTCCGGCAGGCGTCGAGCTACATGCTTCACGAATACATCTTGTCTAACTTTCCCGACTCCTGGAGGTGGGCGCGGCCCCACCGTCAGCCCCAGGAAAGCAGGAACCCCGGGCGCGCTGTCACCGACACACGCCAGAGTCCGGAACACAGCACCCGATGGATACTCGGCAGTTTCGCAGCGCACGGCCCCGGGCTCCAAAGCTTTGGAGCCGGGGTTTGAAGCCAGGGCTCTCTCCCCTCCGGACCCACAAAACCGTGATTCTTCTGCAACTCGGGCGAGCGCCCGGCACCCCATCGGCCCCACCCAGGCAGCGCCAGGCCCAGGTTGGCACGAAGAGGGCGGAGCCCCCTACCGGCCCCGGATTGGCCCCCGCGGGCGGCCCGGACCAATCAGAGGCCAGCAAGCAGGGACCCGCCCCGTCTCCAGGACACCCAG